ATGTTCCAATAAGTCAAGAGTGGTGGCATGCACCTATAGTCCCAGCTACTTGGGAGGTTGAGGCAGGAGGATCGCTTGAGTGTAGGAGGCCAAGGCTTCAGTGAGCTGAGCTACGATGGTACTACTGCACTCCAGCTTAGGCAACAGAGTAAGACCCTGTCAAAAAAAAAAAAAAAAAGAAAGAAAATGCCAGGCACGGTGGCTCACACCTGTAATCCTAGCACTTTGGGAGGCTGCAGCAGGTGGATCACGAGGTCAAGAGATCAAGACCATCCTGGTCAACATGGTGAAACCCCATCTCTACTAAATATACAAAAATTAGCTAGGCGTCGTGGCACGCACCTATAGTCCCAGCTACACAAGAGGCGGAGGCAGAAGAATCGCTTGAACCCGGGAGCTAGAGGTTACAGTGAGTGGAGACAGTGCCACTGCACTCCAGCCTGGGTAACAGAGTGAGACTCTAAAAAAAAAAAAAAAAAAAAAAAAGGCAAAAAGCTCCAATGATCATTTTGCATGCATCACGTTGGTGTTCAAAAACTTTCTGATTTTGGATTTCAGATTCTTGAATTAGGAATACTCAACCTGTGTAGGTAACATCAGTCACTCATTCTGGAAATATTTTTGAACACCTACTATGTTCCAGGAACGTATTCATCAGACACACACATCCCCAATCTGTGACAGCAGCCTTAGTGGCATCAACCCACGACAGCACTTGGCTTGATAGAGGTTGGATGCTCAGATATCGTTTGCTATTCAAGTGGATGGCCCAATCTTTTGTCCACACTCCACCCCTATTCTTCCTAGAGCTAAGAGTTCCATCTCCTGGGATGTTACATATCCCAACAAGCTCCTCCTTAGTGTATTAACAGAAAACATTAAGACCAAGCAGGACCCATTTCTGCATCAGCCACTTAAAGCTGTTCTTCCTAGGCCATTTGTTGACCCTTCAACTTGTTTCCATTTCAGAAGCAGTGCTAAGACCCATGCCAGGATGGAATTCCATTTTCAAATGAGGTTTCACAAGACTTTTTATCAGACATGCAGAGCAATTACATTGGCTGCGTTCTTTCCATCCAGCAGTTGGGTAATTCTATCTCTGCACCCCCTCCCCTTCCCTTCCTGTAGTGAGTGGTTAAGTTCAGAGCTACATCTTCTCTGTAGGAGCAGATCAAAGGCATAGCTTCCTGTGCCCTAATCATCAGGGAGTGACACCATGCTGCCTTCCCACCAGGATCTCAAGTCTGACAGTGGACCCCCAAGGAAGTGCATGGCTCTTACACATTCCTTTACCTCACAAAGCCCCCTGAAGAGCAGAGGTGCAACATCAAAACAACACACACACACACACACACACACACACACACACACACACACACGAGTTGACATGGTTTCTAAATGCACATACTCAAGGTTATCACTGAAAAATGGCAAGGGATTCATCTGGAAAGAGCTTTCCTGGGGGAAAAGGCCACTTCAGACCCTCTGTTTGGGGAGGGATGAGGATGCCCTGCAATCTGCAAGGAAAACCCTCCTCACCTCCCCCTCTCTAACCCCCTCCTTCGGTAGTAAGTAAAGAGAGCTGCAGAGACCTGAGCCTACACATAAGGTGCCACTGTCAGGCAGAGGTTACTGAAAGCAAGAACCTCCTAACGAGTGGTAAGCGCCCAGGGAAGCGGGGTGCAGGGCAGATGGGAGCCGTGTGTGTTGAGCCAGCAGGAACTGGCATGCCCACTGCCCACCTTCTTATATCTGCCAAGGAACAGAAGTAGTGTTGCTGCCAATGATGTGGCCCACACCTAAACGCCCATGACTGTCCCCACCCCCACAACCCATGAGGCTTCACATCCTGTCCCTTGGGGGCAATTCACCACGTTGGTCAGGCTGGTCTTGAACTTTTGACCAAAAGTAATCCACCTGCATTGGCTTCCCAAAGTGCTGGGATTATAGGCGTGAGCCATTATGCCTGGCCATTTTTGTTTTTTGTAGGGATAGCGGTCTCGCTATGTTGCCCATGCTTGTCTTAAACACCTGGCCTCAAGCAGCCTCCCAAAGTGCAGGGATTATAGGCATGAGCCACCGCGCTGGCCATGACTCCCTTTCTTTCATCTCAGTTTCCCCATCTGTTAAACCAAGAGTAACCTCTATGTGGGAAACAGAGGACAGGGCAGTAGACCAGCTGAGAAGGCTCAGGGAAGCCAAGGCACCAGGAGCTCTGTGGCCTCTGCCACTTCATGACAGAGGAATGTTCTTATCTGTTTGTCTCAGCTTATCTGTTTATCCTTGCTTTCTGCACGGCCCCGGAAATTGTCCTTGGGGTTCATTTCATCGTTGCCTTTTTTAAAAAAATTCTTGATATTCCACAGATTATAAGTTCTTAGAAACACAGTAGGCCCTATCAAAATTGGCCTAGTTTATGACTACCTGCTGCCAGGAGGATGTCACCAGTTGACTCTGGTACTTCAGATAGAGTCCCTTGCTTCAGACACCAGAAAACAAGCAACAAACTGTTTTATTGTTTCAAATCCTTATGCTCCTTTCTAAGTGCCTCTAAGTCTTCTTAAAATGTTTCAAATCTCACAAGAAACAGTTTTTCAGGAAAAACCATTTTTAAGTGAATACAATTACAGTGTGTTTCTTTGGCATCTTTAAATAGACCTTCTTCCTGATATCTCCCTAGTTCAGAAACAATGAAAACTCTTAAAATGGTGTTGCCTGTCTTCACCCGCATGTTAGATCACCTGCCTGTGGAGATTTCTTTCTATTCTTTCTGTAGATCTGCCACACTTATGCAACTTGTTTTGTTTTTTTTTTTTTAATAAAATGACCAATTTAAAATATCCCCACATTAAGAATTTCAAGAAGGAACATGGGCTCTGTATATGTCTATATCACACACATAATTTGAATCAGGAAAGTCAGTTGCTCAATTTAGGCAAATTTTCCAACAAGATATGAAAAAGGGGGTGGAGGAGGATATGGTAGCTTACCCCCCAACCCCTGCCACCATCCATGATTGTCCCTGACCTGAATTTCCCTCTTAGGTGAGTCGGTTCCAACTTCTAATCCCTGCCTTCACCCCTCCACCACTGTTCGGCTCCTCCCCTTCCTCGGTCTCTTCTTCACTCCCCGCTCCCCCTCCCTGATGTTCTCCTACCCATTTCTCCCTCTCATCGCTCTTTCTCACTCCCTGCACCCCTTCTCTGATTTTCTCCTTCTCCCCACTCCCTGCCTCCCTCTGCTTCTTTTAACTTTCCCTAATATTTCATGTCAGAAGTCATAGGTTATCACATTCACTAAAGGCACAGAACCCTCTAGAGAAGCTCTGTCCCAATGAACCTTCTGCAATGATGAGAATGTTCCATGTACATGGCCCAATACAGTGGCCACTAGCCACATGTGGCTGCTGAGCACTAGAAATGTAGTTTGCATGCTTCAGGAACATAATTCCTAACTTTAATTAATTTAAGTATAAATAACCACATACAGCTAGTGGCTACCACGTTGGACAGAGCCCCCAAAGAGAACCAGATGCCTTTAATCTTTTTGGTCATTCCCAGTGACAGGCTATATCAAAGGATATACCAAGGTCATTCCCAACAGAAAGCCAGAAAGGAAGACAGTCTCCACCGTCTTCACTCCAGAAATGCAGCCGGTCCACTTGCCCAGGCCTCTGCCCTGAACAGCTGCTCTGCCTGGAAGGCACCATAGCACACCAGTTTTCCTCTTGGATCTTGTCATTCCTCAAAGGGTCTTCCTGCGATTGCTTTTAATGGCTTCCATTTCTAGGAACAGATCTTCATAAAAATGCAGTGTTGGCCAAGCATAGTGGCTCACACCTGTAGTCCCAACATTTTGGGAGGCCAAGGTGGATGGACTGCTTGAGCCCAGGAGTTAGAGACCAGCCTCAGCAACATGGCAAAACCCCATCTACAAAAAGTACAAAAATTAGCCAGGCATGGTGGCGGAGCCTATCGTCCCAGCTACTCAGGAGGCTGAGATGGGAGGATCACTTGAGCCCAGGAGGTCAAGGATGCAGTGAGCTAAGCTTGCACCACTGTACTCCAGCCTTGGTGACAGAGCAAGACCCTGTCTCAAAAAAAAAAAAAAAACAGAACAAGCCCTGCAGTACCCCAGAAAATTGGCAGTTGTCTTCCAGATTCAGGTGTGTCCCTCAAGTATAACCTTTTAATTATGCTTAAATCACATACTGGTCCTTCAGACCACTGTCCAAATTCTAGGCACAGCAGAGTCAATACAGTCTACACAGCTAAGGAGGTCACACCCCATTCCGCCTCAGCTCTTTGGGAAAAAAAATCCATCACTGCGCACACCTAGCTGACCAGTTAAAAAACATAAAAACAGACCAAGTACAGTGGCTTATGCCTGTAATCCCAGCACTTTGGGAGGCCAAGGTGGGCAGATCACCTGAGGCCAGGAGTTTGACACCAGCCTGACCAACATGGTGAAACCCCATCTCTACTAAAAACACAAAAATTAGCTGGGTGTGATGGCAGGCACCTGTAATCCTAGCCACCCAGGAGGCTGAGGTAGGAGAATCACTCGAGTCAAGGAGGCAGAGGTTACAGTGAGCCCAGATTTCACCACTGCACTCTAGCCTGGGCGACAGAGAAGACTCTGTCTCAAAACAAAACAAATGTAAAAAGAGAATGGTGGTGCCCAATTGCACCTTTTCACTAATTTCATTGCATTTATCTAAGGCTGACACCCAAATGTCACCTCTGCACTGGGTCCTGTGACAACCAAATGCTGAATAAATAAATTTTACCCTCGGAAGACTTTCAGAAGACTATTCAAGAATGGTTTCCTCAAAATGAAAAATGGGAGTGGGGGAAGGGTTCAGTCAGGAAGTAAGGACTTTCTCTTTTAAAAGTAGTGTGATATCCACAAAATGAAATGCTTCCTCCAGTGTTTGGATGGTAATTAAAGGAATGGCATTGTCTCTGCCCCTCAAAAATACATCTTTTCAATATCTAGAATTTTTTTTCAAGTTTCAGTTATTTATTAATCAGTGTAATCACCAATAGATTACATTAACATGATTTCATGCATTTAGAGGAGAAATATTTCCTGGTTCAGTGGAAAATTGTGCGGATGGCTTCTGGGAGACCTTCATTTCAAAGCAGCTTTACATTTCATTTAGAAATCTGGACATTCTTTCTTCAGTTTGCTGTAATCCACATTCACTGAGTAGAACTTGTATTGATCATTGGGACCCAGTTTGTTCCAGGGCTCTGGCTTATTCTTTTTGTCCCAACAAACATCTGGATTGAACAATGCCAAATGCGAGAGATACAGGGCTGCTCCACCACCTCCAGCTCCAATAAACACAAAAAGGGGGATCAAGTTCAGATGCTTCTTGGCATGACCTAAGATGTGGCGGAGCATGTTTGTGGCAGAGACCTCCGATTGGAAAGAAGAAAATGAGCCCAGCCACCAGGCCCCGGGCTAAGTAGTATCTGCACTGACACTGTGCGGACTTCCAAAGTCACCTAGGACCTCCTCTATCTAGAATATTTTTAAATAAAAATTTCTACTGAAATATAACAGGATATGTTTTAAAGTAGAAATCAATCCTATTATTTAAGGCCATAATACATTTGGATCTTTATTTTTATTTTTTTTTTTCTGAGATGGAGTCTCACTCTGTCACCCAGGCTAGAGTACAGTGGTCTAATCTTGGCTCATTGCCACCTCCACCTCCCGGGTTCAAGTGATTTTCCTGCCTCAGCCTTCCAAGTAGCTAGGATTATAGGCGAGCACCACCACACCCAGCTAATTGTTATATTTTTAGTAGAGGCGGGATTTCACCATATTGGCCAGGCTGATCTCGAACTACTGACCTCAGGTGATCTGGCCGCCTCAGCCTCCCAAACTGCTGGGATTACAGGCATGAGCCACTGTGCCAGACCCATTTTAATCATTTAAAATCATGCCTTCATACCCTTGTCTTTACTATTCTATTCTATTCTATTCTATTCATTTATTTATTTATTTTTAGAGACAGGTTGTCCTGTGTTGCCCAGGCTAGAGGGCAGTGGCTATTCACAGGTGCAATCCCACTGCTGATCAGCATAGGAGTTTTTACCTGTTCTGTTTCCCACCAAGCCAGTTCACTCCTCCCTAGGCAACCTGGTGGTCCCCACTCCCAAAAGGTCACCATATTGATGCTGAGCTTACTGCAGACACCCAATAGGCATAGCTCACTCCAGACCAGGAAGTCTTCCTCGGCCTCCAGAGTAGCTGGAACCACAGGCTGTGCTACCTCACTTGGCTTCACTATTCTATTTTGATGTGAGAAATGGGTGCTAAGGGTTGTATGATTGAAGAAATTCCAAATTCTCTTCTCAGTGAGTTACCTATTGGTAGTCACTTTCTGTTTTCTCAAGTTTAACCTCTGAGTTGCATGACCTATGGCAATAATGCCTTTTTGTAACCAGAAGACTTTTTTATTTCAAAAATGTCTAGACATTATAACGCTTTATCTTACACTGTAAATGTACTGGCAACAAATATTAACTTTAAGTACTGCCCATAGTCCTGGATGGTTTTATTTAAAACCTCCCAGATACAGATTGAATAGCCCTTGGTAAAGGTGAATTTGGTTTGCAGGCCGGGCGCGGTGGCTCAAGCCTGTAATCCCAGCACTTTGGGAGGCCGAGGCGGGTGGATCACAAGGTCAAGAGATCGAGACCATCCTGGTCAACATGGTGAAACCCCNAAAAAAAAAAAAAAAAAGGTGAATTTGGTTAAACACTGAGCCGCTCCTGAAATTCACTTGGGCATTCTGGAAGTCTTCAGCCCAGATCCAAAGGGTATCATTTAGCAAGCCACTACAAGAGTTATAGCTTCTGAAGACATAATTTAAACAAGGATTAGTTTGGGCATTGGAAGAGTCAAGCGATTTGGAGTTTAGAATCTGACAAGCAGCAGCTAAGCTACTGAAAGACGAGAGCCTTGTGGGTATTTATCTGACGGTTTTTAAACAGGCAGCCAGATTAACTACAATCATCATTTGAAATCTGTAAGAAAGCAAGCCTTCTGAAAACATTGCTTTTGGTTTCTCTACCTCCAAGTTATCAGTACTGAAAAGGAAACTTTAAAAAAAAAAAAAAATGAAAGGCAGTTTCATTTAACGTTATTGTGTTTAATAGGCCAAGCTGCTTTTACACACACTGAGCTGCCTTCATCAAGATGAAAGCTGTCACTCGGTAAGATTAAGATTGAAGGAGAAGCTTCAGGGTGGAGTACGTATGCCTCCACATAGCCGTAAGAGAGCTTTGAGCTTCAGAGATATTCTGGTGTTCTAATAACCTAATACAGCAGTATTTCAGTTTTATCACCACTAATTACGGTTGCAAGGGAAAGAGGTCCAGGGCTTTCAGCCATGCTGTGGAATGCTAAGTCTGCCCAGGGCATAGCCTGCCCCACACTGGCTGGATGCTGGCCCACTCCTTCCTTCTGCCCTTTCTAACCTTTCCCAGGCTCCAGGTTCCTAATCTTGATCATCAGGAAGATCCAGCCAGGTCACAGAGTTATCGGAGGAAACGGTTCCTGTGTATTCCGATATTTGGCAATTGTCACAGATGGCAAAGTAGTTACAGTCCTAAATTCTCAATTCTTGTTCTGGCTAGTGGCTCAGGGAAATGTGATCAATATTCCTTCAGATAATCTTTATTGATCGGATATGGCTACTACTGACCTGGAAAGAAAGGAAAAGCAGGGCCTTGCAAAATTTTTTCTCACCACTGTTCACTCAGAAGAAAGGCAACAGATCTAGAAGATGAGAAAAACACAAAAACCTTTACTGCAACAATAAAACCAGAAAGAAACACACAAAAGGCACTCAGCAAATACTCCTTCTCATTATTATTTCAATGTTTAGCTCGCCTGCCAATTTTCTGAGATTCTGAAATGTAAACAAATAGATAGATATAGTCTGGGCCTCTTTTTCATGAAATGCTTAATCACTTAGCTCATTTCCATAAACTGCCATGAATTCAGTCTCAACTTCTTCCTTTTTTTCTTTAACCACTTTTTAGAGAGCAATCTAAAGTTCCTAAGAGTGATTGAGTTGATGTTTTCTCATGAGACCAAGACAAATAAACAACTCCCAAAATATATTTCCACGGTTTAAAATCTTGAACGCATACCTCTACTTTTTCTTATTTTAAAATAATTGTCACAAGGGTGAAGCTTGCTTGCTATATTTTCTAATTACTAACAATGAATCATTTTATTCTAATGCACTTACAGGCTTTCTATTTTATCGCCACATTCATGTTTTCCACTTTACGTCTTATTACTGTAAGACTTTGAAGGTACAATGAATTTAGGAGCCATCTGTCTTTAAGAATGCACAATCATAAGAAAAGATAGGCCCCGGTGTTACCCACCACCAAGAACAACTACAAATTATTTTACAGCATTTACAAAGTGTGCCTGTCTTTCTTCAAGGTCTGTTTCTCTATTGTTTGCGACAAATGTGACTTTTACTTGAAAGCCAAATTTCACATTGTTTATGGTGTATTTTGTTAAGTGAACTAAATTAAATTTCACGTTTGCCTATTATATTTCTCATCTGTAACTATTGACAAGAATCTTTAAGAATTGTTTTAAAACCTTTTAAATAACTCAGATTTTTTTTTGAGGAGTGTTGCTCTTGTTGCCCAGTCTGGAGTGCAATGACCTGATCTTAGCTCACCACAACCTCCGCTTCCCGGGTTTAAGCAATTTTCCTGGCTCAGCCTCCCAAGTAGCTGGGATTACAGGCATGTGCCACCACATACAAAAACAAAATATTTGTATTTTTAATAGAGACAGGGTTTCTCCATGTTGGTCAGGCTGGTCTAAAACTCTCGACCTCAGGTGATCCACCCACCTCAGCCTCCCAAAGTACTGGGATTACAGGCGTGAGCCACCATGCCTGGCCAGATTTTTTTAACGTACTGTTTTATATTAGATATTTCACTAAACTAACGGAAGCTTTCATTTCTGAATATTTAAATAATATGGTTATTTGGACAATTACTAAGTTTAGTAAAATAAATTCAAATATATGAAAACTGAGAAGAAAAAAATAGTTTTAATTTCTAAAAGCATCCACACTAATTAGGATACATGGGCTCAAATCTCTAATAAAGCCCCAGCCAAAAGAAACTGTAAGCACTTAAAATCATGGTTTTCCTCCAGGTATAAGAGAGAAAAAGGGGGAGAGATGCAAATTTTAAAATGAGGTTTCCATTAAATGATTAATTTTTCTTGTTCATGTGTCAGTCTCTCCCTGTTTCCGCAGGCCCTCTCCATTTCCAAGGCATCATCAAGAGCTATTTTCTCACCATGAGATGATGACCAAAGTCTCCAAGCAAAATTGAAAAAGACTTTAAAAGGAAAAAAGTGAAAGGCACATTCTTGAGTACTTCCAATCACTGTAATTCCGCCCCAGTGGGAGTCAGTCACTCCACACAAGCCTCCAGCCTGCAGCTCTCTTCCCCAAGGCTCTGGGGAAAAAAAAACCCAATTTGTTGGCCTAACAACCAAAAATATCAGGCAGTAAATTCACGTTGGGGAAAAAATACTGGGGAAAACACTTTGGAGGGGAGGGTGGAATTGATATCACTTTGCCCACTCTAAGCAAAACATTATGAAAGAAGCAACCAAATGTTCAGGGAAGAAAAAAAGCATCTCTCAGGCAAACAAATATCTACAGCAGCAAATATGGGGGGCAGATTCCCTGGGCAACAAGAGGAACCAGCGAAATTTGCAAGGCTCCAGTACTATCAGACCCAGTGATTTCCCAAGAAATAATTTCAGAATGGAGGGAGAGTGAAAACTTTCCCAGCCCCCGAATCCTGAGATGTACCACCGTGTCCCACCACTAGGTGGCCAGCTGCAAAGGCTGCAACAGGGGCGGGGTGGGGGGGCTATTTTCTATTTTCTCTGCTTCCTTGCTTTCAGGACCATTCCTGAACCCAGAGGAGAGCCCACCAGCACCCACCTTGATCCCATCCACTAAAAATGTCAGGTTGGGGCGGGGGTGGGTGGAAGAGCTGAGGCCTTAGAACCTGAAGTCACCAAGTAACAAGCCTCTCCTAAAAATGTGTTCCCACCAAAGCTAAGCAATGAGAGGGAGATTAACCTGTATATTTTAAACTCTCCTGGGGTTTTCAAAGCACTGCCTCCCGCCGAGGCTTCTGAAATAAACCCTCTTGCCCACTGGCTGCTTTAGAATGACAAGTGACGACGAAAGTAAGACACGAATGCCAGGCTGAGTTGCTGAAACGCTGCCCACAGAAGGCCATGCATCACCTACCCCCCACAGTGTGTAGGGAGCCACAGGGTGATGGAACTGGCTGAATAAACACGAATCGTTTTATTGCTGACCAGAAATTCTTCCCTCCATTCATGAAAGTGAGTGAATGAAAATATTAAGTAGGTAAGACATTTTTGTGGACTGCTCACCAAGTATCCTTCTAAAGTCAAGCCCTTACTCAGTCTGTCTTCTTCTACCTTGAGTATCAGA